TGTGAAAAATGGGTTTAAAATTGTCTAAGTATAAAGTTGCAGGTCACATGTATGGGAAATGCGAATAGGGGTTCGCAAGTCAAAATTAACTTACAATCGATTTGGAAGAAGAGCTGTTTTTGGAAAATCGCCCAAAGAAGTTTGTGTTTTGAAAAGATGTGAAAAATAGGTTTAAAATTGTCTAAGTATAAAGTTGCAGGTCACATGTATGGGAAATGTGAATAGGGGTTCGCAATTGCGAACCCCGACCTCTACTAACTTGGGAATTGCGAAATAGGGTTCGCAGGTTCGCATTTGCGAACCCTTCAGAAATGCTGAACCTTCGCATTTGCGAAAATAGTGTCGCATTTGCGACTTCGCATTTGCGATACATAGGTCGCATTTGTGATCACTTGCCCATTGGCAAATCTTCGCATTTGCAAGCCAAGGCAGGCCTGGGATGGTTTCGCATTTTTGATCCAGCCTTCGCATTTGCGAGCCAGGCTTCGCATTCGTAAATGCGAAGCCTGCAGGCCTGGGCACACCACCTAAAATTCTGCAATTTTTTCTAAGTTCCAAATGCACCCCGTGGCCTATCCAAAACTCACCCGAACACTCGGGGCTCCAAACCAAATATACACACAACCTCAAAAACATCCCACGGACTTATTCGTGTATTCATATCACCAAAATAACATCAGTAACATCGAAGTAGACCTCAATATCAATGAAATTTATCAAAATTTCTTAAACATCAAATTATGCATTTAAGGTCCGAATCACGTCAAACGGATTATGTTTCTTACCAAACTTCACAAAATCATCTTAAATCATATATAAGAGCTGTACCGGGCGCCGGAACCATAATACGAGACCGATACCAACATGTTCTAATCAAAATTCATTTCCAAACTTTATAAATAATTTCAGAAAATAATTTTCTTCGAAAATTCATTTCTCGGGCTTGGGACCTCGGAATTCGATTCCGAGCATACGCCCAAGTCCCATATTTTCCTACGGACCCTCCGGGACCGTCAAATTATGGGTCCTGGACCGTTTACCCAATACGTTGACCGAAGTCAAATGAATTCATTTTATAATCAAAATTTATCATTTTTCACAGATTTTCACATTTAGGCTTTCCGGCTACGCGTCCGGACTGTGCACGCAAATCGAGGTAATGCTAAAAGAGTTTTTCAAGGCCTCGGAACACAAAATTCAATTTAGAAACAAGTGGTGACCTTTTGGGTCATCACAGCTACTATAAAATTATTTGACAACTTAGGATAATATTTAATTTAATTTAAAATTAAAACATAATTTTTTTTAATTTAAATGAAAATATATTAAATAAGATTATTTTGAATCTGAATGGAGTTAAAGAATAATAGTCTAATAATGATATAACCAACTACCCTATCTTAATTAATAAGGTTCATACCATCAAAAAATTGAATTGAAAGATAAAAATAACACTAATATCTTAACTCATTATAAAGATAAATATGGAGGTATTATCACTACATACTACGAGTATATAGTACTCCAATCAGCTAAAATATCAAATAAAGATAATAAATAAATGATACTCAAAAATATTATTGATAAATTTAATTACCTCTCTCTCTCTCTCTCTCTCTCTCTATATATATATATATATATATATATATATATATATTAGAGCAAGAAAGTTTGCATTATGGTTAAGCCAAGTGGCAAGCTAATATAAAGCCACTTGGCAATTTAGGAAAATATTATTATAGTATTTAATTTAAATTGAAAGATAATGTTTCTTTAATTTAAATAGAAAGATAGCAAATAAGATTCTTTTGAATTTGAATGGAAACAAAGTTAAAATTGAATTGATTAATTAATTAATTTAGGAAGGCTAATCAACACATAAATGTTCCAATTCAAACTAGAGGCTCAACGAGTGAGGTGAATTGTTCTAAATAATGAGAAAGAGTTTTTTGAAATTTGAGTTCACAACAGAAACAACAGAAAAAACAAAAACGTATTTGTTAATAGAAATAAGACTAAAAAAAATCCAGGTTCGAACCCATATTCATAATTACCGAGTTGTTGGATCAAAACATAACTCTCGTAACTACCTTAGGTGATCAATAGTGTTCACTTCTCCGTATGCCTAAGATGTTAATTCAATAAATTTAAGTATAACAAATATGAAATTAAGATTTATATTATATTAGTATTTAGTAGTGATAACAGAAGACAGAAAATATAAATTGAAGCATCAACTTATATTGTGATTAATAAAGGAAAATTTGCTTAGGTGATAGAGCATTTTCTTCACCAATCAGTAAACTCAATGTTGAAATCAATCTATATTTATATTTATAAATATTAAAGGAATAATTTGTATTGTGGCTAAGTTAAGTGGGCAGTAGCACGCTACTATAAAGTTATTTGACAACTTAGGATAATATTTATAATAATATTTAATTTAATTTAAAATTAAAAGTTAATTTTTTTAATTTAAATGGAAAGATAGTAATAAGATTATTTTGAATCTGAATAGAAAGAAAGAATAATAGTCTTATAATGATATAACCAACTACCCTATCTTAATTAATAAAGGTCATACCACAAAAAAAATTGAATTGAAAGATAAAAATAACACCCCTATCTTAACTCATTATAAAGATAAATATGGAGGTATTATCACTACATACTACGAGTATGTAGTACTCCAATCCGCTAAAATATCAAATAAAGATAATAAATAAATGTTACTCAAAAATATTATTGATAAATTTAAATATTAATTTGAGCAGTAGAATAAAAAATAGTGAATATAATTTTTATTACAAGAAAAAGAAAAACTAAATTCATCTATTAATGAGAGTTGTGGGCAATAATATGAACAGTTCTAAGTTATGGGTAATGTAATAACATGAACAGGGAATCAGAAAAAGAAGAAAAAATATATAATTAAATAATTTAAGTAGTAGATGTATACATAATAATAAGACTTATTTGATCTTTGAGAAGAGATAATTTTTAAAATAATAATGAGAAAGTTTTAAAAATAATAATGAGCTAAATCATACTATATAAATAAGATATACGTATTTAAAACCGTTATAATAGATAAAACTAAAAAAATATAAACAATTGACATAATTCCGAGAAACAAATTAGAAAATTTTAAATATAATTTAAATTCTTATATAGATTTGGGATTGATATTTACACAAAATAAAGTGAATTACAAAAATCATAAGGTAAGATTCATTTAATTAAGAATTACATGTAAGAACTCATCTTTCTTTTTTTTAGTACATGTGCATGGTAGAAGAAAAATATTTAAAGTGGGTTAATATTTATTTAATTATAATATATTAATCTTAACTATATCCCAAAGGTATTATTTAAATTATTAAAAATAAAGTGACTTTAATTGTGTGGTTAAAATTGAGGTAACTAGCAAAATTATTGAGCAAATTACGATCCAACTATTTTATAAGTTGGTAACTCCCAAAAGTTAGAATATAATGGTTGTTAATAAATTATCATGTATGTATATATTAATTTATCATTGTGTAATTTTAGGTTAGTAGAAGTTGATGTTGATGAGAGAAGTTATTATATCGAGATAATAATATAATATATTTTTATAATTTAAATTAAGATATTACTAAATGTATTTTTATTAGTTATTACTCTATATAGTATGACTTCAATCAGTTTCAATATAAATGAGATAATTTGACTTGACACGAAGTTTAAGAACGAAAAAGAAGACTTTTGAAACTTATGGTTTTAACAGTTTTGTGGGGCCATGGTATTTGTATGAGTGTAAGAACTTCTCATTATAGGTAAAATGAGTAAAATGAAAAATTTAAATCTAAATTATTTTCAAGTACAGAAGTATGTCATTCTTTTGGAACAAACTAATAAGAAAAATATTTTATGTAAATTGAAAAGGAAGGAGTATTTATTTTTGAATCATATTGTATTTTTATTTGTTTGTATCACCGACTATATATGGGGGCTATAATATTTAAGTTTATGTCAATATTATTCATATAATTTGTTCTTTTTAATTATAGAATTTAGTAGGATCATAATATTATCCGCACATCGTGCGGGTACTAATACGAATAGACAAAATAACCTTAAAAACAGTGTTGGCCATGTGAGATGGTAAATTAAAGTGGGCCCACTTGTTCACAAATTGCTCACACGTGCTCATGGGTACATGCAACCAAGTGTGACTGTTTTGTCCAGAAAAAGAAATGTATACCTTTGAAGGCAATCAATTACAAATTATTTCAAGCACATAATTCATGAAATACCGAAAATATCCTCCACTTCTAAGCATGTTAACTTTTAAGCGAGCTGCTAAAGCACACATGTCATGTTGACCCCAAGCTCCTCAAACCGTGGCTTATTAATAGTAGGAATATACGTTAGTTATTCATAAAAAGTAAAAATTTGAGTATGGTTCTAGTTTAAAGCACTTTATATGCCCTCCCCCTTCTCTATCAGTATATATAAATTATTATTACTCTACAATTATCTTATTTTTTAATTTAATTACTAATATTCTTCCTTTATTTTGGTTATCTTTACTATTTTTGTTGTGAATACTTTTCTTTCTTAAGTATTTTTATTTTAGCTTTTTTTCTCTTGTATTTTTTACACCTCTTTCGATAACACTTTTCTTGAGCCGAAGCCCGAGAGTCCATCAGAAACAACCTATTTACCTCACATAAGGTAAGGTAAGACCTGCGTATACCTCAATCTCCAGATCCCACTTATGGTATTATATTGACTATGTAAACATAATCTTATAGTGTAAAAAAGAATTTGATTATCTACACTATCGGTAATTAATATACAATTAGGTAAACAAGGGTTGTTGAGTGGGAACATAGAGTTAAATCCAATTTTAAATCGGTGAGCCTACCTATGACCGCACAAAATTGAAGACCTTCTAGATTCTTCTATTAACCCCCAATCGCTATTAAAGCCCAAAAACAAATCTAGGCCGTTCATTCCCTTCCTTTCAATAAAACCAAAGATCATACGCTAGCCGCCTCCTTCCTCTTCTCCTTTTCATTCCCAAATACCTAAATCCCAAATCTTCTCAACTTTGGATTTCAATTTTCAATCGGTACGTACTACTATAAATATATAAATTCTTGCTGATTTAATTCAGTTAAACGTAATCAAAATTCATAGTTGGTGAATTAGATTTGTGATTTGCAGGTGAAAATTGAGTAATTAAGTTGAAATCAAAGATGTTTGGGAGAGCACCAAAGAAGAGTGACAACTCGAAGTACTATGAGATCTTAGGAGTTCCTAAGAGTGCTTCACAAGATGATCTGAAAAAAGCTTACCGTAAAGCCGCCATTAAAAATCATCCTGATAAGGGCGGCGATCCTGAAAAAGTAAAATTCTTCACTTTTTTAATATACTGTTTTACTATTCTGACTTTCTTTTTTTGTTTATGGATTTACAGTTTTGTAATTTTTACTGTTTACCTAGGATCCGTCTTAGTAGTTTATAATTGTACTGGGAAATTTGAAACGGTAAAATTAATGTTGTTAGTGAAGGTGGAATGAGTCCTAGGGGACTAGGGTTCAAATTCCAGTAGTGGTTAAACAAAAAAATTAGCTGAATTTTTTCTTGTCTATCTAACCTACCTTTTGGTGTATTACTTGAGGCAGTGGCGGAGCCAGGAATTATGACTAGGGAACTCAATAAATAAACAAAAGTCATACCTGGGATTTTAAACATGTATTTCTCTTTGTGTAAAGGGGTTATTATATGCTATAGATGTATAAAAATGTTGTTTTTAACCTTATTTAGGTCTGGGCGTCTGGCAATTGGTCAACAGGAGTTTTTAATGTGATCTCTGGCAGGGTTGACTTAGTTTGTGAGACACCATTACTCCTATACGGTAGGTTGGAAGTTCGAGTCAGTGGTGGTGGGTAAAAAAGAATTCTATATATTTGAAAGAAAGGATTATTGTGTCTAATTTTTCTGCTTCACCGAAGTAGAAGTAGTTAAATGTTTTGGTGTCACCTTGACCTATTTTGTAATTGACACCTTGTGTTCTTCAGTTTCAGCTCTCAACTTTAGATGTTAGGTATTATGTGAAACTGCGCAGTTATCATGATATGTTTGGCAATACTTCTGCTCTAGGCTGGGTTACTTATTTGCTCACTAAGAATGTGTATCTTAGTGTCAAAATATGAGCTGTAATGGTTGTGTTTAATGTTGATTGTGTTTTTAGTGGAGCGGTTATGATGCTTGCTTTGCAGTGTTGTCAATAGATTAGTTATTTTGTTTTCAAATTTATATTTCAGTTTAAGGAGCTTGCCCAAGCCTATGAGGTTTTGAGTGACCCAGAGAAGCGTGAGATTTATGATCAGTACGGTGAAGATGCTCTTAAGGAAGGAATGGGGGGTGGAGGTGGGGCACATGACCCATTTGACATATTCCAGTCATTCTTTGGCGGCGGTGGATTTGGCGGTATGTTTTCAAGCATGTTTGTAGTTGAAGTACTGATTCCCTTTATGCATCTCCAATTAATTCCTCACGGATACGGATTATTTGATGTCCAGGTGGTGGAAGCAGCAGAGGAAGAAGGCAAAGGAAAGGGGAGGATGTTGTCCACTCTCTCAAGGTTTCTTTGGAGGATCTCTACAATGGGACATCAAAGAAGCTATCACTATCTCGGAATGTGTTGTGCTCAAAGTGCAAGGGGTAAGTATGCAATCTCATTTTTTATAATTTTTCATAATCTAATGAGGATCTGCTGACAGTTGTTCTATATTTGTATTTCCAGAGTAGGGTCTAAATCAGGTGCTTCAATGAAATGTTCGGGCTGTCAAGGGTCTGGAATGAAAGTTTCCATCAGACAACTTGGCCCCATGATCCAGCAGATGCAGCACCCTTGTAATGAGTGTAAGGGTACTGGTGAGAAAATCAATGAGAAAGATAGGTGCCCACAGTGTAAGGGTGAGAAAGTTGTGCAGGAGAAGAAGGTGCTGGAAGTTCATGTGGAGAAGGGTATGCAGAATGGACAAAAGATTACATTCCCAGGAGAGGCTGACGAAGCGGTAAGATATGCAACAAAGTGTTTGAAATGTTTTGTTTCTTAATGACCAAAACTGTGTTGATTTTTCTTAACATGGTTTGTGTTCTTTCACAGCCCGAAACAATTACTGGGGACATAGTTTTTATATTACAGCAGAAGGAACACCCCAAGTTTAAGCGCAAGGGAGATGATCTCTTTGCAGAGCACACCTTGACCTTGACTGAGGCTCTATGTGGTTTCCAGTTCGTCTTGACTCACCTAGACAGCAGACAGCTGCTCATTAAATCCCAACCTGGAGAAGTTGTCAAGCCTGGTAAGCTGAAGAAACTTGATGGCTTTTTGATTCTGATATTTGTGTTTAATTATCATTTGCAATGTATTGGAGTCTCCCTGTATAGGCTGCTTCTGTCAATTATGCCCCTTGGCAACTGCTGTCTAGTACTAACTTAATATATTTGATGTGAATTCTATTAATTAATTAATTAATTAATTTCCTGGAATTTGTATGCTTTTCTTTGAGCCCTCAAACCGGTAACTAGACAATTATCAAGCACTTCATTGTAGTTCTTGGTCTATTCTTTTTTTTTATGCATATATGAATTTACATGTATATGTCTACATTTTCAGCACTTAGTGCTAAAATAAAAAAATTCTTAACCAAAGGTCTCGACTTCAAGCCCTAGCAATGAAGTTGCATTTGGTAGGGAGTACTTTAAACCCCAAAGTGGGACTTCTAACGGGAATCCGGATTAGTCGGGCCCTAAAGCAGGTACCGGACAGGCGGACACTGCTCGGGAAATTTAGAATAAGTATCCAACTCCACACTCTCTCTCTATCTATACATATATGTCTACATGATTGTCATTTGCTCATGGTTGTGATTGCCAATGTTTTACTTACAAGTTGTCTGAAAAATATCCTCATGTTTACTGATCATGTAATTTCTTTTTGGCACCTAGATCAATTTAAGGGCATAAATGATGAAGGAATGCCAATGTACCAAAGGCCATTCATGAGGGGAAAACTGTACATTCACTTCACCGTGGACTTCCCCGATACATTAGCTCCAGAGCTGTGCAAGAACCTTGAAGCAGTACTGCCGCCAAGGCCTAAAACACAAGCATCCGATATGGAATTGGACGAGTGCGAGGAGACCACTTTGCATGACGTGAACATGGAAGAAGAGATGCGTAGGAAGAGACAGCAGCAGGCCCAAGAGGCATACGAGGAAGATGACGACGACGATATGCATGGTGGTGCGCAAAGAGTGCAATGTGCACAACAGTAATTCATGTGTCTTTTGGCAGATAACAGGAGTTATTCTGGCAAGGAAGTATCAACCCCTGGTCTTGGGTTTGATGATAGGGTTGATAAGAAATGACATCCAGGAATGTGCTTTTTGTAGGAATTTTATTTATGCAAACTGAATGGTTATTGACAATTGTAAGAGTGGTGAAAGATTTTTGCGACATGTTTTGAACCACAGCTTTATTCAATTATTTGATTTCCAGACTGATATATAATGTCACATCTTCATTGTTTCTTCAATGTATAGCTGCCTCATCAATCGCTTTGTCTTGTCTTTTCTATTATAGAGATGATAGTGATTGAGATTTCGGATCAAAGATATTGACCCAACAGTGATTTGTTGGTTCTTTTTGGCGGAGCCTCCCAAAAAACAAGATCTTCATGTTCTTGGGTTCGATCGAGCCTCTTTGAAACTTCATCCCTGCCTCTCGTCTAACTCGACTTGTCCCACTCATTTCATAGTTAAAGTAGCTTGCTTCAATGAGGAAGATTATATTTTTAGGGGTATGTAAAAGAGTATTAGCTTTCTGATGAATGACGAGTGAGCTCGGACAAGAACAGAAGCACACACTAGATTGGAGCAAGTACTTTTGCTGGCCCAACGGTGCAGAAACCTACTAGGATGAGGCATAGCTAAAATTAGATAGGAACCTTAGGGGTCGTTTGGTAAGGGAGCAAGTTATCCCGGGGCTATAATGATGAGGATTATAATAAGGGGATCAAATAATAACGGGAATTTAGTGAATATAGTTTTATTAGATGTTGGGTTCATTGGACGAAACATAGGAATACGGGATACAATATAAATATGTGTTTGGTGTATCTTAAATAAGCTGAGACAAATTTTTATTTTTGATTTTAATCTTAAAAGGGTAACTTTGTCATTTTAGTGTCCCGAGATTATTATCCAATCCTTAATATGGGATAGAATAATACCCAATTGTATGACTAATTATTCTCGAGATTGTTAATTCCGAATTCAAAAATTCAATTAAACATGGGCTAAAGTAATCATGTATCTTTAATTCGGGGATTATTATCCCTTATCTCTTCTAAGGAAAGCATATATTTCCAGTCGATTTTATTGACTTCAGGGACGAATATATGGATAGTTGAGATCAATTATTTCATTGGTCCCCTTTGCCTTGGCGTTTTAACGCTGCTTTGCTGAAAACATAAGTTACAGGATGAGAAAGATATCTACGCCCTTTTGAAATATACAGATATATATATATATATAAATATAAATGTTATGCAGCTACCGAATATAAATAATTTCGGCCACGAGCTAAAAGTAATTTTTGCCCTACTTTCTGCATGTGAATGAAACGACATGAAGCTTTTAGTATAGCGACAAAGAAAGTCCAAAAATTATTTCATACAAAGTCAAACTCAGGTATTACATTCTTGTATTTTCAAAATTTTCTTATTAATTGTTTTTGGCTTCGGCACTCCCAATCTCACAAGTACAGGTACCTGCATTTTTTAAGTAAGTAGTGACTATTTTCATCCTTTAGCATGTTAGTGACTTCATTTGGGTCAATATATATTTATTTTAAGTGGTAGGAGTTGATATTACGAGCTATTAATTCCCAAAAAAATCATCCCCTAAACTAATTTTGTCAACATCAAATTAGACAAGTGAGGCTTGTTCGGTTGGTAAAGCACCTTCATCCACAATCGTTAGGTCCTGAGTTCGAGTCACATTTGAGGGGAAATGTGAAAATACTACGGATCATCCTAAATTGGAAGGCATTTTTTTTTAAAAAAACAAGTTAAAAATAAAAAAAAAATTCCAAGTCAAATATCACCTAAATTTCCTTTACCTTGGTGTTATTTGGGGTACGTTTCCTCATATAAATTTGTCGACTCCACCAGTCAGTTATTAAAGTCAAACTTTGATAAAGAATGAGTTTAATTCTAGATCCAGACAATGAAACAAACCAGTTGACATTTAATAATAGATTGTAATAAGAGTCTAACTAGCCAAGTTGAAACCTTTGGTAGATACATAGGGTAATGAACTCAA